GGTCAATTCAGAAAAATTTTATTTCACTTTTCAGGTTTATTCGCATTAAGGGCGTCGAATAACATAGGGATAAAGAGGTTTGGTTCAATATGCAGAAACTTTTTTTTGTAAACCTGTGTAATGGGATGTATTTTTCTCGAATTTTTAAATTAATAAAAAACCAACAAATTTGGTGCAACCCAACGCCAAGGACTCTGACTACGTCAAATCAAACGCCTTAATCGAACAAATTAAATTATCACATTGCAGTGGGGTCTTATTTTTATCGAAATTTATCAGATGTAAAATCAAATTTTTTTTCGAAATTTTTTCGATTTAAAACAAATTTTTTCCTTAACCTTCGAAGTGACCCCTTAAAATTTTTTTAAAATTTTGAAATTTTCGTGGATATATTTATTTGGTCCGCAGAACACAACAAATAGGTGTCCCATACAAAACTTAGAATCTGCTATTTTTAAGGATCACTCTAATGTACAATACATTTTCGGCCAACATAAATTAAATCTACATAAATATAATTCTGGCACATATGAATGCATGCAGTGAGTGGGAACTGCTACCTAATTCAGTTGCAACTTTCTTGTTTCAATATTTTTGCATTTTGAAGTTCGATTTTTTTCCTTTCAGCGATGTGGAGAGACCTAAAGCTAAGTAAAGTGGGTAAAGGAAAACAACGGTCATCCGCTGAGGCTGCAAACGTGTCCAGGGAGTGGAGAAATAGAGTTGGTGTGACAGAGTTTAATGGATAAAAGCGAGCAAGCGTCGGCGACATAGCCTGCAGTACAGCATGAGTGAATAGCGATATAAAACCTGAAAGGATAACTAAGCACACAGCGTCAGCAATAGATGCGCAAGGCAGTGAATAGCAACAAATGTAGAGAAAAGCGAAAAAGAACGAAATGGCCAGGATAACAAACCAGCCACTCCTGCTGCATAAATTTATTGGCATTGTATGCAGAGCAATCCATATGTGTTTGTGCTTGCTTCCGTTGAATATTGGTTTGCTGCAACAACAAAAGGAACA